AGACATAAAACATTCATTTTGCAGTAGCAGATGCACAGAGCTCATTTATAGCAGCTTTGAGAATAACAGGACCCAAAGGGCAGTGGCAACAACATCACTGTGGATGTGTGGCTTCTAAAGAACAGGGGTAATTTGTTAGCTGAGAACCTTTGCATAGTTAATTCTACTGTACAGACAGGACTGCAGCTGGAGGCCAACCTTCATACTTTAGTGATGGGAAGACGAGGAGGGTTCTTTTTAGATTTTGATTGCTACCTTAGGACATAAGAGTATAAAGTAGAAAAATGACTTTGCCGTTGGCTGATTTTGTCACCGCACCTTTTCAGACACTAATTCAACATTAAATGGATGCAAAAATGTGGGGAATATAATTCATCTGAAAGATCTTTCTTATTCTTTTTGTACCAAGGGTGAAATGCTAAAGCTCAGGACTACCAGTTATTTAATACAATGCTGTTTTCTCATGAGCAATATGTCTGAATCAAGCATGCAACACAGCTGTGAGTTGCAACTCTGGCAGCTGAAACCCTGCTTTAATTGAACTTGACAGCATTTTTTGTGTTTGAAGGTTCCTGATAGAAGAGACCCCACAATCATTCCCATGCACCTACTTTGTACATTAGCTGCTCTGGCTTTCTTTTCAAAACCAAAAGCAATTGTGGCCTACGTGACTGAATTAAACCAGGAATGGGACCAGTTGTAGGACTGAGGGAGAATAAAACCTGATTAAAGCTCCTCTGTTGCCCACCCACCCACCACCACCACCATTGAGCACAGGCGAGCCTGAGCAAAACTTATTCCTAATTGCAGACTGGTCTGTGTTCCAGGTCAGGAGCACTATCTTTGATCCAAACTGATGTTGTGACAACGTATCTATGAAATGGTTAAAAAAATTGCTACTGTTAATTTAGTATTAATGTCCCTCTGTATTCCTTAAATTCTGCCCTGATTTAGAGCTTTTATCAAATTAATTCCCCTGCAGAATTTACCTTGAATTTATGTTGTTCTCAAACTGCCCTGCCCATATCCCGTGCACTCACATTTTCAGCATCTCTTACCCAGGTTAAGAAATGAAATTACCTTAGTATAAGTGAAATGATTGTTTTTACATCAGCAAACAGCAATTTGAGCAATTAAAACTCTGGAAAAAGAATCTATTACAAAGTACTATCAGCAGATTCTCAGAAATCGTCTCATAGCTCTAACAGGTTACTTATTGATGTCCACTCAAGCACAGTTCGCTCATTTTGTAGACCACATGTGAAATGCTGCAATGCAGTTCAGCAAAGCGGAACTTCAATTCCTCTCCTATGTGTTTGCAGATTCAGGTAATTCACTGCTTGTATCTTGGAAGCCTGTTGGAACTGGGACAGCAATTACTGGTAATTTCCCAACAACAGTATTTTTTATTTTTAAGACCCTGAAGCCCACCACGGTTGTGCTTAAAAACATGTAAGATCAGAAATGTGGAAAAAAAAAAAAACTAATGGCTGCATTGTGGCCAAGTCTTTCCCAGCCAACCCAGATATAATCAGATAGAAAGAGTTATCAGTTTCTCTCTTGGCTCTAAATCTTTCTTATAAATAACATAAACAGCTATCATGTGCGAGGAACTAACTTCTTACCAGACCTTAACATTTCCCCTATTCCTCCCAAAACAGAGTAGAAGAAAACAGAACTACTATAAGGGTGGTCTTTGGCCTGCAAGGACATGGGTGCCCCTGCTCTCAGATGGTTAGGATTATAAGTCCATTTCTGAATGGGGACAAGGTGGGGCATCGGGTGACAAGAACTCTGCCCTAGCAGATTTTGCTACCAAAAGAATTTCTCAGTGGATACTATGAAAGCTAAGTGTAGATGTTCCTAATCTTCATATTTGAGTGCTACATATGTGGATATGTTTTTTTTAAATTCTACGCATTTTTAAAATGAACTAATCATAGAGGAAACAGTTTCTCTTTCTATAGGAGGAATAACTATATCTATTCAAAGAAAGCACTATTAAATACCAAAACTTTAATATTCATTAGATAAGGTTCCTAGCAATAAAAGCTTGAACATAGGTTTTGATGTAGGACATTTCAGGATGGTTATGGTTGCCTATCTGTGCTTAATAAAACTGCACAGACAACAAAGAGTTAATTCTTGCCTGGATTTACCAGGCATCAGAAGATTGTCTTCAGAAAGTTCCTGGTCTGCCACTCTTTTGCCGCCGTCCCCTCCCTTCTTTGTTCTCTTCCTTCTTTCTCTGATTACCACTCCAAAAACAACACCCAACTTCCAGAGGTCAATGTTTAATATTTCAGAGTATTTATATAGTCTCTGAAAACAGACCTCAAGCCTTTCAGCACTGGGCTAGCTCCAGCACCATGGCTGGAGCTTGGCAAGCGATTCTAGCCCACAGGAATTACCTGACTGTTGTCCTAACGCCTCTTTTGCTTCTTCCTCTGCCTCTGGCTGTTCCTACCCAGGTAAGAACTTTTAAAATTGGATTTGAAAGCCAAATCTCTCCTTAGAATTGTTCCTTTTAAATGGCAGAACTGAAGAGAACACATCGGTTCCTTCTCAGAGGCAGTTCTATCGTTTTTTGCTTGAACAGCCTTTTCTCTGAGTAGAACCCCTTTCACTACTGATAGTGGGGAGGCATAAAAGCAACAGGACCTAGAGGGATGAACAGATATATCTCACTCTTTTCTTTAGCATATTTCTGTAATAATCTTTCTAAACAAGGACTTAAAACATAAAATGCCATGTTTTCGAAGATGCTTTGCTTAGAATTTCTTCAGAGAAAAAGTAAACTATAAACACTTGGAGCAGAGGAGCAGGTGCTTCTACATTGATCATTCAAATTCAGGACCGAGGGTAGGCAGAGTTCCAGTGTTCTGATTCTTCTTCACCCTACTTCATTTTCTCCCATGCCCAGTCTCTTCGTGCAGACAGATCTAGTCTCTGCTCTTCAGGTCTCTTCGTCCACTCCCAGTACCATTAAATAGCTAGTCCCAATCTCCCTCTCTTGTCACTGCTCTTTGGATATCAAGTCCTAGATCTTTCCTCTGGCTTCTTTTTCTGCCTGCCTGCCTCCTAATCCCTGCCTCCTGATCCCTGTCTCCTTCTCCAAACTTCATTGACTCCGCTAGCTCTCGTTCCTTGTCTTTTTGTGCAGCCTGTCCCAAAGCCCCTTCTTACCTACAGCTCTTTATCTGAGTATTTTCAGAGTGTCTTCAGCTAGGACCACAGGAGTGCAAGCAAGAAAGACAGTGGCACAGGCTTGAGGTGAAATGTGGTAACTGATGAGGCATGTCCTCCTATTCCATCGCTATGCAAATAAAATAGCTTAAACTATCACTTAAAAGCTTACTGAAAAGAAAAACAAAAAAGTAATTTTTTGCTATAGTTAACTTCTCATAGGTGAAAGAAGTTAACTTACTGAAGTTAAAAGAGAGCTGAATCAGAAGAGTTCTAAGTAGCTCGAAACAGAGTGAGATTTCTTTTTTTTCCTGAGGCCACTAAGTTCAAACCTACTTGCTAGAGCCATTGTTACCACACAACAGGTCTTTGGTATTGCCTGTGGAATAATTTGGCAGTCTTGTTTCAGTTCCTGCTTGAAAACAACTCTCTCTGCTTTCTATGCAGTCAGCTACAGCAGACAGATTTAAAAGGTCCTGGACATTGTTTTTCACTTGGAATCTGTTAGAAGCTTTCCGCTGTTAGAATTGTGCATAGTGGTACTGCTAGCAGGAAAAGCTTGTACTTCAGCATGCAGGGTTATAAGCAGACCAC